CCAGCAAGAACGCTGGCCCCTAAGAAGAGTGGATTGTGAGATCACACATCGGTTGGAGAGGGAACGAAACATTTAAATATGTGGAAATTTTTCTCTAACAAACGCGTTTTAAAATCGTAAGGCTGGCGACGATACGTACCGGGCTAAATCGACGCATATCTATTAATATTATATTGGTACCTAAAATTAGTGATGGATATTAGCTTTTGGTTGCGTATGGCTAAAATCATTCAAAAGTTTTGCTTTATTTTGTCAAAGATGAGTGATGATATGGAGAATAAGTGGATTCCATTGTTTCTTTAAAAAGGAAATTTGTTCAAAATTACATGATTTATGTTATGTTTTATGCTTTTATTTGTGTAAAGTTCGAGAAAGTTGCGTTATGATTGAGTCACGTATCCACCATATTCTTAAACGTGCTATTCTTTATTTCATTTAATCGTACGTAAATATATGTATTGACGATAATATTCAAGAGTAAAAGTAAAATCTCAACCAAATAACGTCTTAATCGAGAATATACGTGTAACAAATCGAAAAAAGAAAGTAAAGAAATGGATGGCAACTAGCTATTGTGAAGTTTACGAGTGATTATGACTAGTGCTCGTGTTGCTTTGGTGGAGGTGTGAACCTATGAACCAAGGCGACAGGTTCTCACAGGCAACGTGTAAAGATGACGAGTGATGGTTTCTACTCAAGTGCAATTTTTTGGCTCCTAGACAGATATGGTCGTGAGTCATACGAGATATTGCTCGTATTGTGTGAGATCCCACATTGATTGGAGAGAGGAACGAGTGCCAGCAAGAACGTCGGACCACAAAGGGGGGTGGATTGTGAGATTCCACATCGATTAGAGAGGAGAATGAAACATTCTTTATAAGGATGTAGAAATATCTCCCTAACAAACACGTTTTAAAAACCGTGAGGGAAAGCTCGAAAGAAAAAATACAAAGAAAGAGGACAATATTTGCTACCAGTGGGCTTGTTACATGTCGTGTGATAATTCAGTCATGCATTATGTGAACACGCACAAAGTGTATATGTCCATAGTCAGGCGGCCTAGGGAGTGTGATAGCGATGTTCGTCTAGTGGATCCATGTGCATGTGCATGAGCCGTGTGTCAAGAACGGTTGTACATCCCATTTACCCGAAAATGAAAATAGAGCCCTAAGGACAGTTGAACTATACATAATGTTCTAGATATACGGTCATTACAATATGTTAAGCCAATTGAATTATACATCCTCGACATGAGGGTCGAGACTACATCATCTACAATAGGGGTGTACATTCAACCCGGCAACTCGACAACCTGGACCAACCCAACCCGAACTAGGGTTGGGTTCATTTTTCTGGTAGGGTTGGGTTCATTTTTCTGAACCTAAACTAAATCGGTTCGATTTCGAGTTCATGGACAAAACCTTCGGGTTAGCCCGAGCTAAATAAAATATATAAAATGTATTAAGAATTCTCCTGTATTAATGGATTTGCGAGAGTGGTACTGAGTTCAGTTCAAGATTCTACAATATGTTAAGCATTTCACTGTAGTTTTTTCATAAAAATTATTATTATTATTATTATAATATATATGACGAGTCTCATTTACGAACATATTAAATACTTTTAAAAGTTCGGACATATTAGATATTTTTGAAAGTTTAATAGATAAAAATAACAATATGGAAGGATTAAACGTGTTTAACCAAATTTTAGGCACAAAACTATTCTTAAACCTAATTCGGAAGAATATTTTAAATTCCTTCGGAGTATTTTTCAATTTTAAGATAATGTTTTTTCTTTCGTTAACCTCAAACTCGATGTGTCTTCTATTTGTCAGAATGAACGTATAACCAACGATTTTTCTTCACTGGCATCATGTCGTCTTCAACTTTCGTAAGATCGTCGACGAGGTCAGCAAGGTTAGCCACGAGTAGTTCATTGTACATTGTTGTGTCCATCACTACCTTTTCCCTATTCTCGCCCGCATCTTAGTTGAGCTCGAACTCTTCACCATCAAAATTGACAGAACTACCATGGCCACCACAGTCTTCAACGACGTCACTCCATGGATCTTCTTCACACTTTTCATCAATAACAATGACACTAGAATAAGAGGAGGACACGAGAGTCTGTATTAGATGAACACGACTCTCCACAATGGTATGATATTGTCCACTTTGAACATAAGCTCTCATGGTTTTGGTTTGGGCTTCCTCAAAAGGCCTCATCTCAATGGAGATAGTATTCCTTGATTATAAACCCGTGATCATTCCCTAAATTAGCCAATGTGGAACTTTCATCATCCAACCGTCTGTTTGTTTCCGTGTAGTTATAGTTTCGAGAATTAGGTTTGTAGTTTTCATGACAGTAGTTACTCGGTCTAGAATGATATTAGTTAATTTTGTGATTTTTTTTTATAAAAAAAAACATACAAATACCTCTCATAAAGAAACACGTGGTTTTGGGCATGTGTGGGAAACTTTTCTAACAGGGATTGGAACATAAACTTCACTGAACGAGTAAATTAATAAATAACAATTTTAACTTCGAACTTCACAAATTGTATCAATTTCAACCTTAAACTTTCAATTTCATTAAGTTACACGTTAAACTTGGATATGAGTTGTGATTTTTACGTCAATTTTGAGCATTAATTAAATTATATCTCGTGTTAAACTTGATTTTTTTATAAATTAATAATAATTTTTTGTTAAAATTAGAAAATAAATTAATAAAAAAAAAAGTAAAAAATTGCAAGTCCAATTAATTTGATTTATAAAATTAAAAAAAGCCAAGAATGTTTAAGAGAAAATAATAAATTGTTTCTTAAAAAAGAATAATAAATTGGGCAAAATAACAACTTATTTAAAAAATTGAAGAGAATTAACTAAAATATTTATGAAAATGGTTGGTCCACAAACAAATAAAAATACAAAACTGTATTTTAAATTTAATTTCTAAACTTATATTATATATATATATATATATATAAAAGAAGCTTTCAAAAGCTCTTTTATCAAACTTCTATTTTTTAAATAATATTTTTTATAAAATGTTTTAAATAAATCAAAATGGTCCAAGTGGACAACTATGTTAATGAAGCTCATATATCAATAATATTAACTTTTTATTTGTTTTAAAAATGAAATACTAACATATCAATATATTAATTAATTATTATTTTTTTAATTTTTTGTTCCTGCTCTGAGTTATTCTAGTATATTTTGGCCTTAATTTTCATGCCATTTTTATTTCATTATGGGTAAAATTGAAATTTCTAAAAGAAAGTTGGTTTCAAATGTTTGAAAGATGGTCCAACTTATTTTTTTATAATCTAATCTCGAAAAAAATTATTGGACTAAATTACCCTCATTCAGATCGAATATATTTAAAATCTCAAACTTATAAAATTAGGAAAAAAATCATAAACTAAAGATTCACGAGGGCATAAAAAAGTTCTTGAGATTTTTTTGGTATGAACATGCTAAGATGTTCGAGCGTCTCAAGATGTCCGAGTACCATGTTTATCCTACAAAACAAACAAGCTAATCCATATGTTTATTTTGATCTTCGTTCGAGGATTCTTTGTAAGAATATGTTGTTCTTATAATGTATAATTAATTGATGACAAACGGGGATTAAACATTAGTTAATTTTATTTAATTAATTTTAGTCACAATACAATGCCTGGACTAGTTTTATTATAATTTTATCATCCCATTTGAAACGAGTCAGAAACGAGTCATGAAAATGTTCGTCATTCATAAGTTACCCAAATCAAGACTTTCCATTTCAAACTTCATAAACGTTGGACTAGTTTAGACTTTTACTGCAACAACGAGCAAAACTCTTAGAATTACCTAAGTACTTGCCCATACTTCTCCAAGTTAGCCTCCACCCACTCCAAATCAAACAGAGAGAGCCCTAATAAGAGAAGAGACTGCAAAAAAGAAAAGAAAAAAAAATCCAACAGATCTCCATGAAAACAAATTAATAATTTCACGAATAAGGTGATTGTAAAAGGTAACGAGAATGGGATGTATTATCCGTCCCTGTCCCCGTCCCCTTCTCGATGAACATGTAACGGCCCAAGCCCACCACTAACAGATATTGTCCTCTTTGAGTTTTTCCTTTTGAGCTTCTCTCAAGATTTTTAAAATGTGCTTGCTAGGGAAATGTTTTGTTCTCCTCCTCAACCAATTCTCACAATCGTCCTACATCATCGCTGGCACTAGTTCTTTTTCTCCAATTGATGTGGAACCCCCACCAAATCCACCCCTCGGGGCCCAGCATCCTTACTGGCACACCACCTCGTATCTACCCCCTTCGAGGAACAGCCTCCTCACTAGCACATCATCCGGTGTCTGGCTCTGATACCATTTGTAACGACTCAAGCCCACCATTAGCAGATATTATCTTTTTTGGACTTTTCCTTTCAGTCTTCCCCTCAAAGTTGTTTCCTCAAAGTTTTTAAAACATGTCTTCAACTGAAAGGTTTCCACACCCTTGGTGATTCGTTCCTCCCCAACCAATATGAGATTCTCACACTAAATGGGGTCCCACATCAATTGGAGAAAGGAACGAGTGTCATCGTCCTCGCTGAGCCCCAAAGGGGGTGTATTGTGAGAATCCCACGTTGGTTTGGGAGAAGAACGAAACACCCTTTATAATGATGTGAACTTTTCCCTAGCATACGCATCTTAAAAACTTTAAGGAGGGAAGCTCAAAAGGGAAAGCCCAAAACTTTAAGGAGGGAAGCTCAAAAGGGATATCTGCATACTATTGTATTTAATTATTAAATTAAATTTGGTGTTCAAGTCGTTGCTTGAGCGAAGAAATTTCTTCCATTTTTTTTTTTCTTTTTTTCTCTTCCACTGTTTTGAAAGTCCTGTCCGCGTTTTTTCCAAATGGAAAATGCCACAGCAAAGACTTACTTAACAAGTCTTCTTCCCCATTGATCTTCAACTTGAAGCTCTAAGCATTATCTCCTGCCTTCTCCCATGGCTGCACAAAGCTCCAATTCCAAGTTTCTTCTCATATGTTCGTTCTTCCTTATCAACATTTCACTGTTCCTCTCTACACTTCCATTTGCAAGTTCTTTATCTTTCAACTTCACTTCTTTCAATCCAAGCAACACCGACATCATCTACGACAGAGCATTCCCGACAAACCAAGCAATCGAGCTCACTGGGGGTGACGCCAACATGGATTATGTTGGAAGAGCTATGTATTCCCAACCCTTGCATCTTTGGGATAAAGTCTCTGGAAACTTGTCGAGTTTCCAAACCAATTTCTCCTTTGTCATTGATTCAAGGCAAAAATCAACCTATGGTGATGGCCTTACCTTCTTCTTTGCCCCTGTTGGTTCTAAGTTCCAGGCTAACATCTCAAGAGGCAGCGGCTTGGGTATTGGCTACGATCCCGAGTTAACGAATGCGACAGCCACATTTTTTGCAGTTGAGTTTGATATCTACAGCAACCTTTTCGACCCACCTGAAAAGCTCGAACATGTAGGTATCGATATTAGTTCAATGAGATCTATTGCATATTCGATATGGAAATGTGATATCAAGGGAGGGAAGAAGAATCATGTTTGGATTAAATATGATTCTGTTAATCATAATTTGAGTATTACTTTTACTGGGTTTGATCTGAATGGTAGTATTCTGTTCCAACATCTTCACCATGTTGTAGATTTGAGGTTGCATCTACCTGAACGGGTTACTTTTGGCTTTTCTGCTTCCACTGGTTATGCATATGCAACTCACACTGTATATTCGTGGTCTTTTGAGTCAACGCTCGACTTGACCCTTAATCCAAACTTCACCTCTAGTTCTAATTTGTCCCCACGTCCTGAGCCAAGTCCTGAGCCAAGTCCCGAGCCAAGTCCCGCCGAGTCAATTCTCGAGTCAATTCCTGAGCCAAGGCCTAACTTGCACCCAAGTCATAGTAATGGTAGCAAGGCAGGTCTAGCAGTCGGATTGGGCGTTGTTGGAGCAGCTATCATAGTGGGAGGGTTAGTGTTGGTTTGGATAGCTGTTTGGAAGAAGAGAATGGCAATGAGGAAGAACATAGAGGAGGAGATAATGTTGGATGATTCTGAGTTTGAAAGGGGTAAAGGGCCTCGACGGTTTTCGTATAAGGAATTGGCTCGAGCAACGAACAATTTTAAGGAGGATAAGAAGCTTGGAAAAGGAGGATTTGGCGATGTTTATAAAGGTTTCTTAAGTGACTTGAATTGCGATGTTGCTGTGAAGAGAATATCAAAAGGGTCTAAGCAAGGGATAAAGGAGTATGCATCTGAGGTCAAGATCATCAGCCAATTGAGGCATAGAAACTTAGTTCAACTAATTGGTTGGTGTCATGAGAAAAGTAAACTTCTGTTGGTTTACGAATTCATGCCAAATGGAAGCTTAGACGCCCATCTTTTCAAAGAAAACAATTTCTTGACATGGGAATGTCGGTACAGAATCGCTCAAGGAATCGCCTCAGGTTTACTATATCTTCACGAAGAGTGGGAAAAATGTGTGGTGCATAGAGATATAAAGTCGAGCAATGTAATGTTGGATTCGAGTTTTAATGCGAAGCTCGGAGATTTCGGGTTAGCTAGGTTAGTGGACCATAACAAAGGTTCACAAACAACTCTTCTTGCTGGGACGATTGGCTATTTGGCTCCTGAATGTGCAACAACAGGAAGGGCTTCAAAGGAATCAGATGTCTACAGCTTCGGGATGGTTGCTTTGGAAATTGCTTGTGGAAGAAAACCTTTCGACCCGAATGCAGAGGACGAGAAGATTGTGATGGTGGAGTGGGTTTGGAAGCTTTATGGTTGTGGAAAGCTTCTTGAAGGAATAGACTCAAAACTGATCCAAGAAAGGTTTGAAGATGAGCAGCAGAAGGAGGAGCAGATGGAGCGTCTGATGGTGGTGGGTCTGTGGTGTGCTCATCCAGATAGCAATTGCAGACCTTCAATAAGACAAGCCATAAACGTGATGAACTTCGAAGCGCCATTGCCTCTTCTTCCATCTCAATTGCCTGTACCCACTTATGAATTTCTTCCCATTAGAAGGCCAAATGCTTCGTCTTCACCATCATCATCAGCTACTCAAAATAGTGTTGCTTCTCATACTATTAATAGCTCCAACTTTAGTAATGTCGTTAGCAGTTCTTCCCACTCGGCTGCATCTTCTATACATCTTCTTCAACATGTTCACCAATGAACACACAATACTATAGAATGTATGGTGTTAGCTTATTAGTTTTGGTTAAATACTTGATTTGTTATTCCAATTCTCTATTAAAAAAAATGAGCTAGTTTTGTTGTAAGTTGTCATGAAGAATAGGTTCAATGCATCTCTTATGGGACATTTTTTTGGTTCATACCTTTGGTTCATCTTCCATTTTAATACATGAATCATCTTGATTCATGTATGACACTAATGCTTCTATGTTTATATAAAGGGTTGTCTAGAATGGTTGAGATGTATTAAGTTTGACTGAGTTTGAGTGTCATTTTGTATTTGTTGAGTGACATTTGAGAGAATTTTGTTGGGAGACTTGGTAGTGTGAGATATACACTTTGTAAACACTTAGATTATTGAGATTGGTTACTACTCGTGGATGTGGGCGAATTTCTTCTCTCCAAACCACGTAAATCTTTGTGCTCTTTGTTTAATTTCTGTTTGTGGGTGTTTGAGTGCGATTGATCTTGTTTTCCCTTCCGTTATAACAATTGGTATCGAAGCATTTTAGTTGTGGCATTTGGGATATTCTGAAAGATTCAACTTCATCAACACGAGACGTGCTCACACTCACCATCAATTACCAAAGACAAGTCTCTCATTGCAAGCGTGCTTATTTTCTTGGAAACCATTTTTTCAAGAATTGTTTTTTTCTACTTTCATTTGGATTAGACTTTTGGTAGAGAAACTTGTTACAAATGGCAGAGTCATCTAATACTAAATAAACCATGGCGTGGATCGAATTTTGAGCTCTAATCTCAAAGTAGAAAAAATTGATGGAATCAATAATTTTGGTGTTTGGCAAGGCGAAGTTAATGATTTGTTGGCCGTGTAAGACCTTGATGTGATTGCCGAAGACATGATGCAGAATGAAGGAAAGGAAATCAACAAACTTGCCGAATTATTCAGTCCTATCTTGGCAAGGATCAGAAGTATCCATTTATAAAGGTGACTATGGCGAAAGAATTATAGGATAAACTCGAGGCCAAATATAGTGTGGAAAATAAACTTAATATTGAAACCAGTCATCTGCAACAATAAAACCACAAAGCTAAACTTAAATCACTTTGTACCAATGGTAGACCAAGTAAAGAACGCCAAGGTCCCAATGTAAGAGGATGTTTCACCAATTAAATAACTTGTAAAACTCCAATGGCCACATGAACAAATATCTAAACTATCAGATCTAGATTCTAAAAACAAAAAGTGGAAAGGGCCCTATCCTATAATAGAATTTTAGTATGTTGCAACAAGAACCAGTTGTAGAAATTAACCTAGAATGTATTGAGATTGCCAACTCCATGAAGTAAAAGTTATTTCAGTAAAGATAGCTTACAATGTTTGAACCGACGAATGATATTGCCTTTATATCTTCATCGTCACAAATGGCATTAACAACATCCTGCAGAAAAAACACCAAAATTCAAATAACATTTTGTTGATGCTGCAGTCAAATCAAGCCATTTAAGATAGAAGTTGAATCTAGTGGATATGGTTCCAGAATCTAATCATAGGTATAAGCTTGCAAAAACAAAAAGAAGACAGTTCATAATAAAGATGTTTGTGGAACAATTCAAAAACAAAAAATCACCTCGATCTTTTTCTGAAGGCTTCAAAATAAAGGTATTCCCACATGTACAGCAATTGGGAACATCTGCAGAGGATTGTCCCATGGCACAACTATTGCCACTGTCAGTCTATTATCATAAGAAAAAGAAAAGCTAATTGGGGGGATAATATCGGTATGGAATGAAGTTCATAAATTAATTTTTCGGGGATAAAAATCTTTCATAGCAGCAAGTCTTTTACACCACAAAAGAAGTAGATAACGGGTGTACTCCAGGCTTTGAGAAATCAAACTAATTCTTTACTGCTGAAATTATAACCATTGGAATGACAGTGAAGAATAACAGGCTAACCCATAGGGAGATCATGGCAGGAAAATTGAAAGGACAAATCCCAGCACAAACGCAAAGAGGCTCTATGATGCTGCAGGTATCAACAATTCCATGTGACACATGAGAGACATACTACCCCATTTGCAGCGATGCCATTCCACATGCATGTTCCACAACCTCTACATAAGATAAATCATTTCAATTTTCTATCGAACATTCAGCTCAGGCCATATGATAAAACGAATTTTTCCATCACATAATCATAAGCATACACAGGGAGAGGAAGGAACTAAAGGATTATAACCTATCCCATGGGATACATCTCCATGTGCATCCTTTAATGTTTTTCCTTGTTCTGTTGTAAAATTTAGAGAAAGTTTGTCCTGAAATGAGAGGGGGGGAAATCCACTTTTGAAGTGAATTTGGAATATTCCTTTTACTGAAAAACGAACTTACGATATCTCGCCTAACGAGTTCTTGAAGCTTGAGCATAATTCGTTGACGAGTTGTAACTGGAGTATTACGCCAAGCAGGAAAAGCTTGCATTGCAGCAGATACTGCAGCTTTAAATTCTTCATTTGTGGTCAATGGAACTTGAGAAACAACTTCCTTGCCTATAAACAAAAGCACATTTTCGTACCCGTACCTAAAGGAACTTAACTTTCTCAAATCTGAAATAGAAAAGAGTGCGTAAAAATGAGCTGGTAACTCACTAGGTTTATGACATCTATGAATGCTGAGGATTGAGAAGGCTTGCGTAAATGAAGTATATATCAGCCTTTCGTAACAACGCTAGATGAAACAAGTATGCGCTGACATTATATATGATATCATGGTCATGAATTGAAAGACAAACTACATTGGTGATCAAGCTAAAAAAAATTTCAGGAAATTTCCCCTTTCTTTCAACCTACAGAGTAATTCCTAAACTTCAAGAAGTTAAGAAGACTATTTCAAATCAGAAATTAACGCAGTGAAGGCCAGTCTCTACAAGAAACAATTACAAACACAAAAACGAAGCAAATTTGGGACCGTAGAAAGGATAGCATAGCTCATACTTTCCACGTCCTGTCCTGACGTTTTCTCAGAAACCAAACAATGCAAACAAAGTTCCTCATTCAAACCACAAGCTCAAGAAATCAACAAGCTCTACTCAAAAGAAAAGAAAAACAAAATTAAAGAAACAACCGCTTCCTCACCGGAGGATTAGGCTTGGAAGACGGTTCAGCAGAGGTGGAGAAACGATAATTTCCAAGAGCAAAGATCTAAGGCCTCAGAACACTCGATTTCTTCACTGCAAAATGATCACGAACGTAATCAAGAAGTAACTTCCATTAACAAATTCGAAAATCAGAAACAAATTCCTTTACGATCAAAGAACTTTACCCCGCCGAATCGACAACTGCAACATTTATCTCCGGCGCCGATTGAAGACGATCACACTCGCATACGAGAGCTATGGAGAGATTCATCGTACATGCAAAGGCTGGACAAAGTTTTGGGTAACTGGGCTATAATCCAGTGCGGCATGAGAACTGGGTCTTCTCCGATATTGGACGGTTGGATGGTTGATGTAAGAGTTTGAGAGGATCTAACGGTGGAGATTCTAGCGTGCATGGTTACTTGGTGGCGGTTTTGGAGCGCTTTTTTTTTTTTTTTTTTTT